GAGAATTGTCCTGAGAAGTAAGAAACCCCAATTCAAAAAATTTCTTCTTCATTGCCTAAGGGGGGAAGCTGAACATAGTAGATCTCCCACATCCTAGTTAGTACTCTGAACACTAAGCTAAAAGTTATTTAGGTGGACATCACTATCTTATCCCGTGGCCAGATTTTGAATGGGACACAATTAAATGGGCAGCCTCTGAGCATACCTACCAGGTAGGGCCTCACATGAAAGCTAAGCAAACACTGATTTTCCCCCTGGTTCATGGATTGTGCTGGAGTTTATACATGAGACAGGCACCTTGTCAGCTAGAGTTGGGCAAGAGTGTGCCTGCTCAGTGGCTGAAGTTTAAGATGCCTAGGCATTCGCATCAGAATAGGGCAGGACAAGGGAGCCATGGCCCTCCCCACTTTTCTCCATAAGCCCTTCTGCCCACACCCCTCTTTTTCCTCCCAAGTCACCCCTTCCCTTCCCCTCCCGGCAGGCTGGCAGCTGGAGCCTGAAACCCCTCTTTTTCCTCCCAAGTCACCCCTTCCCTTCCCCTCCCCTCCTGGCAGCTGGAGCCTGAGCATTGAACCCATGCAGCCCCTCTACTTGCTTGGGATGCTCATGTCCTTGTCCAGGGCAAGTGGAGAGTCATAACTCTTCACAGATCCCTAACCCCACTGCTCTTACCATAACTGGGCTGTGGCTCTGAGGCCCCAGCCAGAGCTGGGATGGAGAAAGAGCTGTGGGGTGATCCAAACCCTCCACCTGCCTGGGGGGGGAAGAGGTTCACAGGGCAGGAACACAGGCTAGAGACTACTCTTGGGCTTCCCCACCCCAGGTACAGGGAGGGTCTGCAGCTCAGAACCTGTTCCAGCTTCCAGCTTGTCTGGGGCAGGGCCTTGTCTGGAAGGGGAGGGGATGAGGGATCTGTCCCCTAAGCTTTTGGGAAGGCTCTGCGGAGGTTGTGCCTACAGAACTTGTACTGCAAAAATGAGGTGATGAGTCGGATAATTGCCTGTAAGTTTAGGTGGCAGACAAAATGCAGTGGATTGCATAACAACAATGGAACCTGAATAGGGATTTCGCCATCCATGTACTTTTGTGGTTCTGGCCATTATAAAATGTCCATCATTTAAATAACTTAAAGCACTTTGCAAATCCCTGTAATAAAGGCATAAAAGAACTGTTTAAGAAATTGGTAAACTGAGGCAAAAAGCAGTTGAGAGATTTTTCCTAAAATATTACAGCAATTCAGCATAGAGCTGGGAAAGCAACTCGGGAGTTAAGTCCTAATTTCCTACTCCATTTGCTCCCCACAAAGTTGATTTGGATCCACTAATCTTTGGTTCTCATTGAGACCGTTTACATATATTCATTTGAGCTTTCCTTTCTCTTGGGGAGGGAAGAACACTGTTCAGCGCTTGTTCCCAAGAGTACGTCTACACTGCACCCATAGCTTGAAATAAGCTATGCAATTTGAGCTACGCAAATGAAGTAATTTATTTCAGTGTATTTCGAAATAAACTGCAATTCTGAAACATCCTTTAATCCTCATGGAATGAGATTTACAGAGATGTCGGAATAGCCTGTTATTTCAAAATCTTGTTTAAAAGAACAACTGGAAGTATCCCAAAATAGTGCCGCAATGTAGATGTAGCCTAACAGCTCTTCTTATCTTGTTACTTGTGCAGTAGTTTGTAAATGTGTTGAATTGCTTTGGGGGATTAATGAAGTACTTGTAACAGTTAAAGATGACATTGAAGAAGCAATCACTAGCTGCTTAATAAGCAGTCTATTCTGGTATGAATTTGCCCAGTTTTATTCTCATCTAGTTTCAAAAGCAGTCAGACTGTGCTTGCTTAATACCTGCATAAGATCCCTTATAGGGAAAATATCTATAATATACATTTTGTACACTGTGTTACTTATAAGCCTCAAGCAAGAATGTTCACAGCTCTTTTACAACTATTGCCTTTGCATTCAGAAGTTTCCATTTCAAGTCTTGCTAAAAAGAATTCCTTATGAAGGATAATCCTTCATATTCATGTTACAGATGGGTGTGGTGGCTGCTTAAAACAAAACTGTGACTCATCTAAGTTGTTTAAAGCTTGACTGTGAATATAAATAAGACACAATATCCTGGCTTCAAAGTTCAACATTTCAAAGACTGATTTGCAACTTTAGACTGCCTCCAGATGAGGTGGCCTAATAGAATAGCTTTTTATACCAATCATGTATCCTACTCAGGCAGGCTTTGACCATCACACTGGTCTATTTTCTTTTTACTTGTCCTAAGTATTCATTTGATTTTTTTGGGCTCAATGGATCCTCCCCATATGCTGGAGGGGTGGAGGTCCTTTAGCCAGGGGCAGGCGTCCTGGACTGTAAAAAGACTTTTCGGTAATTCAGTCACTTACTATCAACACTATTTCCTGTGCCATATTATGCCACCCTTACTTCTGCGCTGTTGCCTTAAGGGCTAAGGCTACGTCTACACTACACACAAAAGCCTATTAGCATATTGCCATGCTTCATTTTCATAATTAATTATAAGCCATTTTTGCACAAGAGGTTTTTGCACAAAAAGGTGCTGTCTATACAGTTCCTTTTTGCGCAAAAAACTCTTTTGCGCAAGATCCTAATGCCTCAAAAAAGGAGGTATAATGATTTTGTGCAAAAGGGGTTTTTTGCACAAAAAGGAAATAACAGAAACCAAGATAGACATAGATAAAAACAGAAGTGCCTGTCAATTGTATGACCCACCCGCTTAATTAGTCTCATTAACACAGGTCCTACAATTAACAGTTACCTCTGCTGTTATATATTACTTGTTTTCATTCCAGTGCATTTCTAATTCATAGCCTACAATTAACAGTTACCTCTGCTGTTATATATTACTTGTTTTCTGTTATTTCCATTCCAGTGCATTTCTAATTCATAAAGTGGGTTTTACCCTTGACAGCTCATGATTCTATATATTTTGGTTAGTCTCTAAGGTGCCATAGGACTACTCGTTTTTAGTTAGAAAGTTTCCCCCAATATCTAACCTAAGAGTCCCATGCTCCATACTAAGCACATTTATTCTTGTCGTACCTTCAGTGGACATGGAAAACAAGAGATTACTATCCTCATAATATCCCTTAACATATTTGAAAACTATTATATCCCCCCCCTCAGTCTTTGCTTCTCAAGACTTAACATGCTCATTTTTAAAACCTTTCTTCATAGGTCAAGACTTTTATCTTCTTTGTTGCTCTTCTCTGGACTCTCTTGAATTTGTTCACAACTTTCCCAAAGTATGGTGCCCCAAACTGGACACCTCCCCTGAGGCATCACCAACACCACATAAAGTGGAACAGTTACTTCCCATGTTTTACACATGACTCTCCTGTTAATACACAAGATACAGAATATTTGCCTTTTCTGAAATTGTATCATATTCAATGTTCATATTCAATTTTTGATCCAATATAACTGAGCGCTTTTTTCCCTATTCAGTATAGAGAGATGTATCAGAATCAAATCACCTTGTTTCTTACTGTGAACTGGTAGCCTGTAAGAGGCACCAATAGCCCACTGTGTACTTTATTTGCTTGAACATCAAGCCACAAGCATTTAAGATTATTTCTTCCAAGTTATCAGTAACTCAGAAGCAGGCAGTGCCCTTTGGAGTGCCACTCCTGTGCTGCTTTGCCCACTTGATCCCTAAACAGTTTATAACCATTCATTTCTAACATTGCAGTTGTACAACTCATGCCACCAGGTTTCAGTAATACTAACTATCAAATTTAGAGTCATAAATGAGGAATTCCAAATCTACTTATTTTACCCAAGCTCCTAGCACTGGTGGTTAGCCAATGAAATAATGTATTCATTTTATGTCCTTTGGTTTGTTGGTTTACACTCTCAGCATCTTGATTCTGTGCTAAATAAGTGGTCATCTCTTCCCTCTTTTTCCCCTCCCCTTTTGTTATTAGTTTACAAAAAGAGAGGACAAAAAAGGAAAGATTTTACTACAGGTTGCATCTCCCTAAACTGGGACTTTCTTGTCTGGCAACATCTGTGGTCCAGCAGGATACCAGACGAGAGAGTCATGGGGCAGGAGGGCCAGCAGCTGAGAGACCCAGGAAAGGCATGGCTGGTGGTAGTGGGGCCAGAGCCTCAGCAGACCAATGGCAGTAGTGCAGTAAGGTGCATGCTGCCCTGACAGCAGGGTTGTGCCGCAGCAACATGAGCAGGACTGGTTCCAGCCTGCCAGTGGGGACAGAGCCACAACAGCCTGGCTGGCAGTAAGGACACCAAGAGAAGCCCATCTGGGGCCACATGCTGGCTGGCAGCAGGATTGGTGCTACAGCAGCAGGCCAGGGATGCCTGCTGCTGCGCACTGCTGTGCCAGTGGGACTGGAGCAGCAGTTCTGGCAGCAGGGCCGGGGGCAGCCGTGTCGCCAGGCCAGGCAGGCAGAGAGAGCCAGAGGCAGGGGACCTGCCCTGGTGCAGCAAATTCCCTAATCGGGGACTGCTAAGGTCCCCAGAGTGCTGGATCAATGAGGTCCAACATCTCATGTATTTAGTTCTCAAAAAGAATGGTGCCAAGTTTGCCTCACGGAGTTCCTTAAGTTAAGATGAAGTGAATTTAATCAGGCCCTGACAATTTGAATACAGAGAGAGCCAGAGGCAGGGGACCTGCCCTGGTGCAGCAAATTCCCTAATCGGGGACTGCTAAGGTCCCCAGAGTGCTGGATCAATGAGGTCCAACATCTCATGTATTTAGTTCTCAAAAAGAATGGTGCCAAGTTTGCCTCACGGAGTTCCTTAAGTTAAGATGAAGTGAATTTAATCAGGCCCTGACAATTTGAATATATCTAATTTATCATAATACTGTAACCTGTTGTTTTTCTCTTCTGGCTTGTATTCTTTCTAACATATCTAGTCACGATCTTTATTAGTGAAGACTGAAAAAAAATTATTAAAACACCTCAACCTGTTTAGGGCCATCTGTTATTCACACAACTCACCAATGGAAAAAAGGTCTTACATTTTCCTTCCTCAAAGTATTTTAGCCTCACTTCTTACTGCCTTTTATGTCCTTTGGTAGCTGTAACATCCACGTGCTAATCTTTTGTACTCATCCTGGCACTCCGCCACCGCCTTTCCAGGGGCTGTATTTTTTTAAAAAAACCGTTTTGGTTATTAAACATCTTCTGCCACCGTCCTAGTGATCTCGTTCTCTCCGGTCTTTCCTCTGCGGGACACTTCCCGGTTTTCCAGTCGGAGAGGTGACAGCTGAGGTTCCCGGCCCCCTCGCGCAAGGGGCAGGTTTTGTACTCATCCTGGCACTCCGCCACCGCCTTTCCAGGGGCTGTATTTTTTTAAAAAAACCGTTTTGGTTATTAAACATCTTCTGCCACCGTCCTAGTGATCTCGTTCTCTCCGGTCTTTCCTCTGCGGGACACTTCCCGGTTTTCCAGTCGGAGAGGTGACAGCTGAGGTTCCCGGCCCCCTCGCGCAAGGGGCAGGACTCACCTCGGCTGCCGGGGGCCGGAGGGCGCTCCGGGAAGCTGAAGCGGCTCGCG